GTGATAATGAGAACCTTCAAAAATTAGGGACTCGCCCTTATTCCCTATGTAGATAAATGGCGACGATGTTACAGTTGTTAAGGGGATCCGGTGAATGGAAAGTCGAGGAAGGGACATTCACCTCACTAGTCACACGCAGTATGGGTGTTATGTGGCATTGCGGGTCTTATAGTGCCATATTAGTGTCACCCAAGCAGGCCGACATTACTCACTCATTTTAAGCCTACGTAGGTACTGATGATAGCACTACTGTCTAGTCAGCGTAATCCACTCATGCAAATAGTTACAACAAATCTGCAGCACTTGCGGAAACTCACATATTTCGAGTACCAGCGGGGGGGCAGCCAAAATAAAACCTTACATGCACGTCGTTGTTAGAGGCAAATTAAATGTGGAAAATTGCCAATTTTATCTGAATGTAAACTAATTATGTACATAAAGTAAAATGATAACAAAGATAATTATTTATTTATCAATGCCTACTTAGACAAGTAGGAATTAGGGACACTTGGTCGCAAAAAATGTCCCCTCCTACGTTAAATTTCCTTTGTAACTAGTTCAGCTATCATACTTTGGGGTCCAGTCCCTGGAACCATTATGTACCTTGTATCTTTTGACTAACCGCCCACAGGATGGGTATGGGGTGCATAATAAACATATTAAACTAAAACTGTGTGTGTGTGGTGTGTGTGTGTGTGTGTGAGTGTGTGTGTGTGTGGTGGATGTGTGAGAGAGAGTTGTGTGTGTGTGTGTGTGTGTTGTCTGTGTCTGTGTGTGTACTCACTTATTTGTGGTTGGTGTGTATCACCTAGTTGTACTCACCTATTTGTGGTTGCAGGGGTCGAGTCCATAGCTCCTGGCCACCGCTCTGCACGGTTAGCTACTAGGCCCTCTCTCTCCCGCTCCATGAGCTTTATCAAAACCTCGTCTTAAAAACTGTGTATGGTTCTGCCTCCACTACGTCATTTACATTCTATTCCACTGCTTACAACTCTATGACTGAAGAATTACTTTCCTACTATCTCTCTGACTTATGTGTCTTCAAACTTTCCAATTGTGGCCTCTTTGTTTCTGTGTCCCATCATGGAACATCATGTCTTGTCCACCTTGGTTTATATTCCACGCAGTATTTTATATGTCGTGATCATGTCTCCCCTGACCCTCCTGTCATCCCAGTGTGGTCAGCCGATTTCTTAATCTTTCCTCATAGGACATTCCCCATGCTTGGAACTAACGTGTCGCAAACCTTTGTACATTTCTCTAGTTTCTTGGACGTGCTTTATCAAGTGCGGGTTCAAAACAGGTGCTGCATACTCAGTAGGGCCTGACATACACGGGTTGTACAGTTGTCTTGAATGATTTCCTTATTAAGCGTATCGGAATGCTGTTCTCAGGTATTGCCAGGCGCCCATTATGCTGCAGCAGTTATTCTTTTGTTGTGTGCTTCGGAGACATGCTCGGTGTTATACTACACCCCAAGATCTTTTCCTTGAGTGAGGTTTGCAGTCTTTGGCCACCTAGCCTATACTCTGTCTTGTGGTCTTCATGTTGGCCCCTCCCCCCATCTTCCATGACTTTGCATTTTGGCCAGATTAAATTCGAGAAGCCATTTGCTGGACCAGGTGTCCAGTTCTGTCAGGTCTCTTTGAGGTCCTGCCTGGTCCTCATCAGATTTAATTCTCCTCATTAACTTCCATCATCTGCAAACAGGGACACTTCTGAGTCTAACCTTCGTTTCATGTCGGTTCCACATATTCCAAAAATAGCACTGGTCCTTAGACCGGACCTGAGGGACCCCGCTCGTCACAGGTGCCCACTGTGATACATTCATTACGTACCATGACTCGTTGTTGCCCCCTGTCAGGTATTCTCTGATCCATTGCAGTGCCCTTCCTGTTATATGCGCTGGTGCTCTAGCTTCTGCACTAATCTCTTGTGAGGAACTGTGTCAAAGGCCTTCTTGCCCAGTCCAAGAAGATGCAATCACCCCACCCCTCTCTCTCTTGTCTTATTCGTTATTTTATCATAAAAACCTCAGAAGGTTTGTGACACAGGATTTGCCTCCGTGAATCCGTGTGGTTTGCAATTTTATCTGTTTCCGTTCCAGGTGCTCCACACTCTTCCTCCTGATAATCTTTCTCCATAATTTTGACATACTATACACGTCATGACACAGGGGTTCTATAGGTTTTGTGCCTCTTTTCTGTCTCCTTTTTAAAAATGGGAACTACATTTGCCGTCTTCCATACCTCAGGTAGTTGCCCTGTTTACAGGGGGATTGTGTTGAAGATTGATGGTTAAGTTGGCAGACAGCACAATATATCTGCTCCCTCTTAAGGGTCCCACGGGGTTGATGTTGGTCTGGTTCCCATTGCCTTTGAGGTATCGATGTCCCTAGCAGTTTCTTCACCTCTTCTCTTCATCTGATGTATTGTGTGTGTGTGTGTTGTGTGTGTGTGTGTGTGTGAGTGTATGAGTGTGTGGTTGTGTGTATGTGTGTGTGTGTGTGTGTCCGTGTGTGTGTGGTTGTTGTAGTTGTGTGTGTGTGTTGTGTGTGCATGTGTGTGTTGTGTATGTGACTCAACAATCAATATTTTGCACCAATAACTCAATACAGTTGTGACCGGGTGTGAAGTGTGAATTGCTCATTACACTATAATTTGTTCATGATTGTAGCCATGTATAAACGTAAGTAACCATTCTTACAGAATTCATTACCACAACAACTGGTAAATATATAAATTTGTGGACTGTATATTAAAAAATGATTATATATAAATTCACATATACATAACATAACAGAAGGAATTTAAATATATCTTAATATCACTCACCAATTTGACTGGATATTAAGTTGTATCATACTCAGAAAAACCTCACTAACTATATTTATGAAAACACTGGCCAGAATTATACACAAATCTAGAGAGCTTATCTGAGGTTCATGGAGCTGTCTTGTCCAGTCGTCTGATATCTCAAGTTATGCAGGAATGCACTTCACAACAATTTCGCATCCTTTTGAGAGGTGTCAATCCAATTTTAAACTTAGAGCACGAAAAATTCTTCCCATTATATTAACGTTGTATCCAATTCAAAACAAAGATCCTACCCCCCCCCCCCTTCATTCAGTTAAACTAATATAATCTATACAGTCCACAATTAATTAGTAGCACCGTACTTGTGGGTGCTACCCAATCCATACTGGTCTCGGATAGATATGGATAAGATTGTGAGGTCGAGGGGACCACTTGGTGCGACCAGGGGTGGTTAAGTTTTCTCACATGTCTACACGGGGTGACTACGGTAAACAATATGATTGTCTCCCAATGAGATTACTGGTATGTATATAATGTTGAGGTACATACAGGTAAGCACCCTAGAAAATTTTCCATACTTACCTACCACACCCTCTCTAAAAGTTTCTCCTACTTTAGCATTCAGATCCCCTACCACAATTACTCTTTCACTTGGTTCAAAGGCTCCTATACATTCACTTAACATCTCGCAAAATCTCTCTCTCTCCTCTACATTCCTCTCTTCTCCAGGTGCATACACGCTTATTATGACCCACTTTTTGCATCCAACCTTTACTTTAATCCACATAATTCTTGAATTTACACATTCATATTCTCTTTTCTCCTTCCATAACTGATCCTTCAACATTACTGCTACCCCTTCCTTTGCTCTAACTCTCTCAGATACTCCAGATTTAATCCCATTTATTTCTCCCCACCGAAACTCCCCTACCCCTTCATCTTTGTTTCGCTTAGGGCCAGGACATCCAACTTCTTTTAATTCATAACATCAACAATCATGTTTCTTGTCATCCGCGCTACATCCACGCACATTTAAGCATCCCAGTTTTATAAAGTTTTTCTTCTCTTTTTTAGTAAATGTCTACAGGAGAAGGGGTTACTAGCCCATTGCTCCCGGCATTTTAGTCGCCTCATACGACACGCATGGCTTACGGAGGAAGATTCTTTTCCACTTCCCCATGGACAATAGAAGAAATAAAGAAGAACAAGAGCTATTTAGAAAAAGGAGAAAAACCTAGATGTATGTATATATATATGCATGTGCGTGTCTGTGAAGTGTGACCAAAGTGTAAGTAGGAGTAGCAAGATATCCCTGTTATCTAGCGTGTTTATGAGACAGAAAAAGAAACCAGCAATCCTACCATCATGTAAAACAGTTACAGGTTTCTGTTTCACAGTCATCTGGCAGGACGGTAGTACTTCCCTGGGTGGTTGCTGTCTACCAACCTACTATCTGACTATTCCTTTACTGCTGTACAATAAAAGGTGTTTGAAGCCTGGCCACTGACTGTGGGTACTACAAAGTTGTGCTCTCTCCCCCTAGTACTATGATTGCTTTGGTTCCCAACCTTGACAAAACTGACAGCAAGATATTCTGGACACTGTTTGTGAGCAATTTTATAAACATGATTTAGCATCAGTTGTTTTACTCTGTCTTCAACATTCAGCATATCTAACTGCTGTAATTCATCCTGGCCTACATGCTCTCTTGGACCCAGGTCCAGGATGAATCTTACGATTTTGTTCTGGGTGATTTGCAGTCTATCTTTCAGTTTTTTTGTCAAGGCATAGCTTTAAGAATAGGTATGATAGGGTCCACAAGTCCAGGAGAGTGAGGTAGTATAGAAAGCGGGGTGTTAAAAGGCAGAGCCAGGAGCTAAGACTCTGTCCCTGAAACTACACAAGTCAGAACATAAAGAAGTACTGGGTTACAAAATTTCAGTGGCAGGACACGACCTACGTAGCCACAAGAGATGGTTTTGTTGACTGGATTTTAAGGATGTTTTCTTGTTAAACCTTCAAGAAGGCTTGGAATATTGCAAATTATAATATATATCCGACCTTCAAGTTAATTTTCTAGAAGAGTTTTTCCCTAGAACACTTTAATATGGTGTACCTCTCCTGGTCTTCATCTAGATAAATACAACCTGTATAATAATGAACAGTTATTGTATAATGTGCGAAATAAATAATACATTTGGACATTAAAAGCAATATATAGTTTAAAAATATTAACTTGAGATAATGTAAGTCAGTAAAACTGTGAGTGTCAACAATAAAGTAACAGCTGTCAGCAGCCGCTACTCACTCTCTCAATAGTAAAGTAAGCACAAATTTAATCATGTTTTTACACTTGCTTTAAATTTCTAATGTTTGCATTGTGAACATGATAACTCTAGGTATAAAGTGGTGATAAATCATATATATTTAAGCGTAGAGAACCCAAGACAGGCAGTTAGTAAGACCAGTGGAAGTAGGTCAGTGTTGTATCTGGTAGTCTACATAATTTACTATATTAACTGATTGTAACAGTTTCACAGTATGTTTGCGGCTTAAATAACAACATAAAGTATGATTTATTTCCACTGGAGTTAACTGTGTAATATACATAGGCATACATGTGTGCCCTTTATGTTCGAAAAGTAATGAAGCGATAATCGAAAAAAAAATGTAAGAAAATTGCAGTAATCAAAATATTACTGCATATAATTAGTTCAGGGATTAGGTCCCAATATATTGTTTGCTCAGCAACTTGAATTTTAATCAGTTTATTAACCCGGAGAGTTAGTAATGAGCCCAGACACAGGACTCATTATGTATGTCTAGTCTTTTGAATACGACCCTCAGTAGATGTGGAGTTGTATAATAATATGAAGCTAACTAATTGCGTTTTCTAACCCAGAATAACCCAATAAAGCCACTATAACATACTTCCATTGGGTTCGTTTGATCCTCTTCCCCAGGATGCAACCCACTAAGCTTATTAACACCCAGGTACCTATTTACTGCTAGGTGTACAGGGGCAACAGGTGTAAGGAAGCTGTACAACGTTGCCACTCCTGCCAGGATCACACTAAGGCCCTCCAAATATAAGCTGATGGCACTACCACTTGAGTCTGATTGTAGCTTTCCATCTCCCAAGCCAATATCTGCCCCCTAGGAATGCTGACCAGGGAAAAATATCTTGCCTTGTGGTAGCTGATTACCTGTAAAATGTGTTAAATAGTAAATATGTTACCTAAGGATTATAAGGTACTCTGTGCATTTTGGCCATTAACCATTGTTTACTTATTGTTCTCAACAGTGTTATACTATATATATATATGTATTATGCCTGTACAAGATATGCTCTCAATAAAATATAAAAAAACAAAACAAAACAAAAAAATTAACCATTGTTTCAATTGTACAGTGTTAAGTAGAGTTTATAGTTAAGAAGGGTATTCTTGTGAAACCCACAAAACCCAATCTAATGTAATAGGGAACCCATCACTCCAGTATCTTCAGTGAAATATCTGGGAATTCTCTTTGACCCAAGCATATACAGTATGATAATTTATGTAACTTTATTTATGTGTACCGTTAACTGAATAAAATTATATGTAGAAGAATTGATAGAGAACATTGTAGTAAAATAAGCAAATGCCATGCTAAAGTTCCTCTGTAAACAGGCACAGTGTCTACCTAGTGAGACTCGCAGGACCCTATGTTTAGCTCTTGTACGATATCATATAGATTATTCTTGTTCTTCGTGGTACTCTGCTTTAAGAGATAGAGTTTGTTTCTATTTTTATCCCTGGAGGGTTAGCCACCCAGGATAACCCAAGAAAGGCAGTGTATCATCAAGGGACTATCTTATTTCTATTTGGGCCCTCAGTCTTGTCCCCCAAGATGCAACCCATGCCAATCAGTTAACATCCAGGTACCTATTTTACTGATAGGTGAACAGGGACAGCAGTAGTCTTAACCCTTTGACTGTTGCAACCCCAATGTCTCCTACTGTTGAAAAATATTTGAAAAAAAAAAAATTATTTTTTCTTATGAAAATGTTAAGATTAATTTTCTGATTGTTTTAAAAGCCCCCCCCCCCCCCCAAAAAAAAAAAAAAAAAAAAAAATTGCGATCAGTAATTATCGAGCTATGGAGGCATAAAGTTGGCAGAAAATGAGCCACATATGGCAACAGCGGCAAATGCCACTCACCCGGTAAACTTTGGTTTACTTGCATTAGAATGTTTCTTGTTTTTTCACTATTTTATTTTTTCACATTACTCCGATATGGTAAACATGAGGAAATTAAAACTTCATCAAAGTACAAAACAAATTCCAGCCACACAATAGAGCGAAAAACCAACGTCAAAGACCTGGGAGTGATCATGTCGGAGGATCTCACCTTCAAGCACCATAACATTGTATCAATCGCATTTACATGAAAAATGACAGGACGGATAATGAGAACCTTCAAAATTAGGGATGCCAAGCCCATGATGACACTCTTCAGGTCGCTTGTTCTATTTAGGCTGGAATATTGCTGCACACTAACAGCACCTTTCAAGGCAGGTGAAATTGTTGACCTGGAAAATGTGCAGAGAACCTTCACGGCACGCATAACGGAGATAAAACGCCTCAGTTACTGGGAGCGCTTGAAGTTCCTGAACCTGTACTCCCTGGAATGCAGGCGGGAGAGATGCATGATTATATACACCAGGAAAATCCTAGAGGGCCTAGTACCAAACTTGCACACGAAAATCACTCCCTACGAAAGCAAAAGATTCGGCAGACGATGCAACATCCCACCAATGAAAAGCAGGGGTGTCACTAGCACGTTAAGAGACAACACAATAAGTGTCAGGGGCCCAAGACTGTTCAACTGCCTCCTAGGAAACAGAAGGGGAATTACCAATAGACCCCTGGCTGTCTTCAAGCAGGCACTGGACAAGCATCTAAAGAGGTACCTGACCAGCCGGGCTGTGGCTCGTACGTTGGATTGCATGCAGCCAGCAGTAACAGCCTGGTTGATCAGGCCCTGATCCACATGAGGCCTTGTCACAGACCAGGCCGCGGGGGCGTTGACCCCCGGAACTCTCTCCAGGTAAACTTATGTGGCATGTGAGACCAAAGTATGGTGCAATGTTCATATATACATTCGTTGAATGTAACGCAGTTATAGCAAAAACACTAGTATCATATTGTTTACAAAACTTGTTTACACAACAAACAATACAAAACATTGTTTATTACTATTATTCTACCATATATATACATATGTACAATCACTGGACACTTTCCTAGAACTGCTGCAGCTTGTGGAATTCTTTGGAACATGGGTGTATGCTAATTTTACTGTAAAAAACCTCAAGACGCCTATAACAATCGGTGCCATATACCGGATACTCCACACAAACAGCCCAAACTTCAGTGAGAATCTAAAGTCACTAATAACAAACAGACAAATGAACAAGCACCACCTTCTCTTAGCTGAAGACTTCAGTATCAACCTTGGCCTACCAGATGATCAGACTAACTGATTTAATCAACAATATGAACATCACACTTCTCATACCAACAATAACTAAACCAACCAGGCTGACTGAGACAAGTGCAACCATAATAGACCACATATGGACCAATATACTAGCCCCCCTTAAATCAGGGATAATCACAGACAACACTACTGACCACTACCCAACCTTCCTCTTAACAAACATTAGTAAGCCACCACTCGAATACAACAAAGTTTCATTTAGACTCCATGACGAGGCCTCAATAAGGAATTTCACAGCAGACCTAGAGACTGTTGACTGGCCTACAGAATTCTTCAATGCCAATGGTATTGACAATTGGACAGACATTTTTCTTAGCAAAATACTTAGAGTACACAACAAACATTGTCCTATAAAAATGAAACATCACGAATAAACGGCTTGGTTGCCCATGGCTAACCAGCAGCATTCCCGAAATCCATTGATAAGAAACACCAATATGAAAAGCAATATAGACAGGGCTTAATACACAAAGATATTCTTAAACAAAATTCAACAGCTCTCACCAAATTAATAAAGAAAGCCAAACAACTGTAAATACTCCAGCAGATCCCCTGACACAAGAGGAGATATAAAAAAGACCTGGAAAACACTTTCCCAATTCTGGGGACCCACAAACTGAAAAAACCCAAGAATATTGTTCTAACTAAACCTCATGAAACACCACTGCATCCCACTGATGCAGCTAACAAGATAAACGACTTCTTCTCAAACATAGGATCTAATCTCGCCAGTAAAATCCCACGTACCATTGCCCGTGCCAGGGACTACCTAGATGGGAATTTCCCAAATTCCTTCTATCTTGTACCAACTGAGCCCACGGAAGTCACCGCCATCATAAAGTCACTTAAAAATAACTCGGGGAATCTGTCTTACGTCCCACCATTATTGTACAAGCGAGCAGCCCATGTCCTTTTGCATGCTATTACATTACTTTTTAACAGGTCACTAGAAACTAGCACCTTCCCGACACTACTCAAGACAGCAAGGGTTACACCAATACATAAAGGTGGTGACCCTAAGAAAAGGGTTTGACACAGTAGACCACGGCATCCTACTCCACAGACTTGACCACTATGGTATAAGAGGCCATGCGCTTGCATATTTTAAATCCTACCTTTCTAATAGGTATCAGTATGTCACCATTAAAGACACAGCCTCATCAGTACGGCCACTTGATACTGGAGTTCCGCAGGGAAGTGTCCTTGGACCCCTGCTCTTCCTCATTTACATCAATGATCTTCCAAACATATCGCAACACCTGAAACCCATTCTCTTTGCTGACGACATGACTTATGTCATCTCACACCCTAATCTTGCCACCCTCAACACCATTGTTAACGAGGAGCTGCTCAAAATGTCGACTTGGATGACAGCCAATAAACTTACACTTAGCACTGGCAAAACCTACTATATTATGTTTGGTAGCAGAGCAGGTGTTGTGCAGCTTAACATTAAGATCGACAACACTCTAATTGCCAGACATAATGAGGGCAAATTCCTTGGCCTATACCTTGACAACAACCTAAATTTCAGCACTCATATCCAACACATAAAAAAAGTATCCGAAACGGTGGGGATCCTCTCCAAGATACGATACTACGTACCGCAAACTGTCCTTCTCACACTATACCATTCACTTATATATCCATACCTCACCTATGCTATCTGTGCTTGGGGTTCAACTGCAGCAACACACCTAAAGCCAATAATAACCCAACAAAAAGCCACAGTAAGAATGATCACTAAATCCCATCCCTGGCAACACCCCCCCCCCCCCA